AGGGGGTCAGGCTAGATGATCTGTTCAGGTCCCTCCTGACCCTAGCTACTATGAAACTCTGACCTGTTGTGGGCTTTTTGAGCTGCTTGCAACAGAAGAATTGCTCTTTTTGTAGATAAACCCCCCCAAAAAAACTAGTGGAAAGCTAAGAACTGGCATTTTCCGAGGGTTCCTTGTGTCTAAGGAGTTCCTTGAATCTAAAAAGCTTGAGAGCCACTGGTGCAGGGCTTTATTATCTCACCCCACCAATGGGTTGTTTTTCTAGGCACTTAAAATTGTAGAGTAGTAGGGCTGAAGAGACCTCCATAGGTCAACAAGTTCAATCCCCTACCCAAGGCAGGATCATCCCTATCCAACCATCTTATACAAATCTACTTTCTAACATCATAGCAAAACTACAGTCAACCCTGGCACAACACCAGACTTTACACCCTAGCCTGCCACTGGTACAGCAGAGGGATCACAGTGGTTATAAATATGCTCAAGAGATCCCAGGAAGAGGGCTACACCCCTGCTACAGAGGAAGGCAAATACCTCCACTGCCAATACCAATCTGACTATGGCATAAAACTCCTTCCTGACTCCAAACATGGTGATCAGTCTGACCCTGAACAGTGGGATAAGACCATCTAGCCAGAAAACTCTGAGTTTGTATTGGCACACCCCAGTCAAAACCCCCAGGCTTGGCTGTAGCCAACACGCAGTGCTTCTGAGGAAGGCTTAAAAAAACCCTTTGACCTGTGTAGTGGGGCAGGAGGGTGGGGGGAGGGAATTCTCTCCCAGCCCTATGCAACCAACAAAGCCCAGAAGCCTGGGAAATATCCATAGGCATAGCTATGCCTAGATCATCCCCATTTTGTGATTATATCAGTTGTCTTAAATTCTTGGTGCTGTGAGTCGATCATGGTGTCTAGCCTCTTGCTCTAGGCTCAGCCCATTTTACTGTTGAGAGCAGCACAGTTCACAGTGGAAGGCAAGAGACTGGAACCTCTGTTTACAGCTTACCGTTTCAGTCTAGTTTAGATCAGAACCTGGATCTGAATACCTTTGAAGTGGCCTAGAGAACAGCAGGACCATCCTGGATGAACATGTTGTCCCCCAGTGTTAGACTGAGCCATCCCTCACTCCTGTGTGTTATGTTTCACAGACCAACAGCAAAGCTTTCACTGCCAAGACATCTTGTGTGCGCAGACGCTACCGGGAGTTCGTGTGGCTGAGGAAGCAGCTTCAGAAAAATGCTGGCTTAGTGTAAGTGTATGGCAGTCCTTCCCTCCTACCCATTAATATTGAAGGATTTGGGATCCTGGGTTCATAGAACAAGGCACTGGTGAGAGCAGGGGCAATAGAAATGTAGTAGTTCCACCCACAGGTTCCAAGCCTATTGCCACATGGAGGAGGATGTGAAGCTGGGTGATGTGGGTTGTAATAACTGGTCATTGTGGGCCTTGATAGATCAGGTGTTGAGCATCCACCTACAGCAGTGCTCACCAACCAGTGGATCTCGATCCACTGGTAGATCTCGGAGCCTCTTGGAGTCGATGCGAGGCTGGGGTGGGGGGGCTGAGTGCCCGCTTGCATGCACATGTGCACCCCAGCCCAGCAGGTCAGTCTGTGGGGGAGGGAAGGGGCGGGGGCTAGATCAAGGCCCCTGTGGTATGGGGCAGTGCTGCAGAGGTAGGAGCAGGGGTAAGTTGGGTAGGACTTACCTGCTGGGGAGGCGTGGCCCCAAATAATTTTTTCTCCCTCCAGCTGAATCTGCTGGCTCCCCTACCCCCCGCCAGACTTACCTGTTGGGTGGGGAGGGAGCCGGGTGGTGGTACACAGGTAGATCTTGGGTTGCTCTTAAATGCCAGAGGTGATCTACTTAAAGGTTGGAGACCATTGACGTAGAGGTACTGACAAAGCCAGGCTTCTTTGAGCTGGGCTTTCAAGATGCACACCTCCTAGAAAAAATGGTTGCTTGTCAGGGGGGAGGGGGGGTGTCTCTTTTTTATTGTGCAAGGGACAGATGAGTGCCTTGGATATCTCCATGCTCAAGATGCTGTCTGTCCTATGACTGGGTGCAGGAACTTTAGGATCTCTGCTGGCCAGTGGTGTCTCCTGCTGTTGGTCTAAAGCAGGTAGTTTCCACCATGCAGCTAGCCTTGTTCTGCTCCTTGGATTCTGTGAATGCTAAGCCACTTCCTGTTCCTGTAGGCCTGTCCCAGAGCTGCCTGGAAAATCCACATTCTTCGTGGGCAGCGCTGATGAGTTCATTGAGAAGCGGAGACGAGGGCTCCAGCAGTTCCTAGAGAAGTGAGTGGAAGTGCTCAAACTCACTTTAATTTAGGGTCCATTTCACACTGAATTTGAGATAGCCTGGGGAGATGAGAGGGAACTTTTTAACTCTAATGCCTTGCTTCACAGCCTGTTTGCATTCCTCCCAGGCTGGAGGGGGTGGCTGTCTGGGCTCAGGGAAAAGCATTCCAGATAAAGCCAAGGGTGGGGAGGGAAATGCTGGCTGAGTGACAGCATAGAAATGCACTGGACCCCACACTGGACAGCCCTACTGAAGAGGACTGATCTATGTCCCTGCCATCTACCAGCCCCCACCTGGGCCTAGGACCTGGTCAAACAGTTAAGTACTGTTGTGTCCTGTGCCTTCATTTGCTTGGTCTCTTTTCCAGAGTTGTACAAAATGTGGTCCTCCTGTCGGACAGCCAGCTGCACCTCTTCCTGCAGAGTCAGCTGTCTGTGCCTGAGATTGAAGCATGCATGCGGGGCCAGAGTCCTCTGACAGTTACCGAGGCCATACTCCACTATGCTTTGTCCAACTGTGGTTGGGTGCAGGAAGAAGATGGCTGCTCTGCTGTCCTGACTAGGGGAAACCTCCACGGCAGGTAAGCAAGTGACCAGAGAGGCCTGTTACTTATAGGGTGGTTCAGTGAGACCAGTACCAGAGGAGAGGAGAAAACTCAAGTTGTCTTCTTGCTTGGAGCAGATTCCCATTAGTAAAACCTGAGCTTGATGGCTCTAGACTGCAAATGGATGCAGTCTAGGTAGAGCAGAGGCAGTGCTAACCAGGCAACAACTAAGCTATAGATGACCCCAGATGTAGCCAAGGGCTTTGCACCATGTAGCTACTTCACAGGAACTCTGCAGTTCCTCTACTGACATTTTGCATCCTGGATGTGCTGTACTCTGAAATCTGCCCCCTCTTCCGTGTCTCTCCGCTGGTTGTCACAGTGAGGGACAGTGCCCTGGAATAGGCAGGATTGTATTTTTTGGTCTCTTGCCTGCTGGGCAGCAGCCTAGCTTAGGAAGGTGCTAAACTGGGATGTGTTCTCAGATGCTATCTGAGAACACATCCTAATGTTGCCTGGCCAGGCCTTGGGGATATGTCACTCTAGTGCAAAACCCTTTTCTGGCTGGGGAAACCAGGTTTCTCTGAGAAGGGAAAGGGACCATATCTGGTCTTAGCCTTGTCCAGAGGAACATCAGTGGAGGTAATAACAGCAAAACCTTTTAGTGGGAAGGTCTTGTACCAGTTTCCAGACTTCAGGCCTCTAGCCTATCAGCTTCTCTATTCCAGAACATGTGTGAGGTGGGAAGAGCCAAACACCCCTATTCTAGGCAGTTCCCATAGCACTAGCCTTGCTTCTGTCATCTTGTGGGTGCCTGGGAAGTGAACCTCACTCCAGGGAAAGGTCTTGTGGAGAAGTGCTGTATCCGAGATAGGCAAGGTCCTTCCTGGTGCTAGTCTCCTTGGCATCTCGATATCGAGAATATTTTGCCTCTCTGTGCCAGTGTTATCTCTCTGACTTCAAGCACTTAATGAACATGAATGAACCAAAATCATCAGCTATATCCCCACACAAGTCATGGGACAACAATTGGGGGTTAGCAGCTAGTGCTTTGCACAGCTGCCTGAAGGGCAGGAAAGGCTCTTTCAGTGGGGCATGAGGGGTGAGCAACTAAATGCAGTCACGATACTGCTATTGTGCCAAGGCTCCTATACTATCTGTGCTTGGCCAGAGGGCTGGCTGCCAAACATCGCTGTTTTGTTTAGACCCCTTAGTAACTAAACTTTAACTCGGGGGTTGTCAACCAGGGGTACTTGAGAAGGCCCTAGCGGGGACATGCAGGTGGGCAGGGATGGAGCCTCTGGGGTACACTGATCCAAAAAGGTTGAAAACTCCTGCTCTAACTAGTGCTGGGTCTCTGAGCCAGCAGGCTGGGCATAGCAGGACCTGACTGTGGGTGGTTAGCCCAGGCTAGCAGACTATCTGTGCCTCATGCTTCTTTGGGCTTCTGTAGGCATAAGTCTATTTCTGATCCTTAGTGCTGCATGTTGCCACAGTGTCTCTTCCTCTTGATTTTAAACCACAGGAAAAAAGCTGCACCTGGCCTCCGACAAGAGACCTGCTATTAATTGCAACCCTTTTGGTTTAAGTAGGGTTTTGAATGAGTGCAGCAGCCTAGGTTAATGGGTATGTATCCACCCATCTTGGTGTTCCAGCTGCATTGCCAGTGTCATATGCCCCTCCTTGGTGACACTTCTCCCAATGCTACCCCTGGTAACTGAGACCTCCAGTTCCTCTCCCCAACTCTTGGCAGCAGGCTTGGTGCTGCTTTTGGTAGATGGGGTGTCTGGAAGCACAAGAGTGTTGTAGAGGAAAGGGAGGGAGACCTCCTCTGCCTGCACAGCTCCTGTAGCAAAGAGCACCATGGGCTCTTGGTGAGAAGGCTGCAGTGGGGAGGACAGCAGGGCAGGGGGCTGCAAAAAAGTTGACTGCTGTGCTCCTTTTTCCCTGGAGGCACTCCCATAGGGCATGCATGCAGTATGGGTCTGGAGCAGACCTGCTTGCTGATCCAGGGATCAGCTGGACCATGGGCTAGTGGGCAGGGCATTCTAGGGAGCATTCCAGCTCCTGGTGCTCAGCTATGCAGAGCCTGTGACTGCTAAAGCAGCTTGGCAGCATCAGGGGCAAGACAAGGAGGTGGGTTGTGCATGTGAATGCTTGCAGTCCATTGCTGATCCAAGCTGTTTGTGACAGGGCAGAATGTGTATGTGGGTGGCATCCTGCCCTGCAATGGAAAGCTGGGGCTGTGCACCCTACTCAGAGCTCCTTTTCCATCCTCACTCACATATTCTTTCTCCCTTTCTAGCTGCTCTGGGTTGGAAAGTCTCTGTGGTCGGGGCTGCCTCGTGTCCTTCCCACAGTGGTGTGACTTTGGCATGGAAGACAAGAATGTGGAGAGTCTGGATGCTCCTGCCAAGTCACTGCCTGAGCTGCTGGAGACAGAGTGAGCAGCGTGAATGACCATGGATGCTCTGGCAGAGGGGGGCAGGGGGGCAGCAGTAAGTCTTCTGGTGAAGAAGAGGATGGTGACTGAGTGGCTTCCAGCTGTCTTGGTGAGGTAGGACTGGAGTTCACGTGGTTCTAGTTCTGCAGCCTGCTGTACTCCCAGCAGTGAGTGACCTGC